GCATGAAATCAGCCATAGACAATATGCAAAGGCATGTATGTGGCTGTGTTCCAATGAAACTTTACTTATAGATACTAACATTTAACCTGCATATTGTTTTCACCTTATTAAGCCTTATTCTTCATTTGATGGTTTTCAATCATTTAAAAATGAAAAAGCCATTCTTATTTCACAGACTGTGCAAAAATAGGCAGCGGGCCTGATTTGGTCCACAGGCTGTAGTCTGTCGACTTCTGGTCTATAGTCATTGTGTTTTTTTCTGCATCACTTTCTGACTGCACCATTTTCCTCTTTGTTGTATCATGTTTTGAAACCTCTCTGTCCTTTTTTCCAACTAGCTGAGGCTCAACTATCCTTTGGAGAATCTGTGCTCTGGCCCTCACGTAGCTCATCAGGGAGAGCCAGAATACCTATCTAAAAGAATCATTAGGGCAAAATCAGATATCCTTCTCTCTTTTGTATCCTGGCTAGTTTGACATATAATTTGGGTATATGAAAGCGCAGATGGACTCTGACAAGTAGTTCTGGTTTCTGATAGGTTCCAAGGCTCTAATGAGCAGACCGTGCAGTCTGAGTGATGTTGAGCGTCTGATTTTTAGATAGGATATTTATATCTTTTAATAGGTTGGTGCTTTGGAATTCTGTTCCAGCATGAAATTGAGAGTCAGAGAGAGGTCTGAATCATCAATTTGGTGTCATCTCTTAGAACAATAATATATCAGAAAGATATTCTGGCTGGAGGGTAACTTACATTAGAAATGGGAGAATTATAAACATTTTATGCTGCTCTATCCTTGCTATATTTAAAATGAAAACACAATACAGATTTTTACATGGGAATATGTTTAAAGGGAGATAATGTGCCCTATGTCACAGGGGAACAGAACCTAAGAGAACATTCTCAGATTTGTAGCTCTAGACCTTGTTTGTGGAGCTGCTCCGCAGACCAGTTCCTGGAATTTTATTGAGGGCCATGAAGCGGTGGGGGTGACAGAGGCTCCAACCTCCTACATAAAGAGATTGGTTTGGTTGGTCTGACAGATGCAGTGATTTATGAGATTGCTTGTTAAGACATATCTGCTGCTGAGCACCGCCAGATGAAAGGCATACAGGTGGGAGGTGGAAAAGATCAGGGAATGGGAGAGGGAGGGCAGTGTATAAGGCAGGTAAGGATCATCCTGATTACAGTTGTTAGAATTGGGTGCTGATATGGAGCTGCAGAATAGTGCAAAATGGTAGAAGTAGCATAGACTTGGAATTGCACAGGTCTGAGTTTGAATCCCTGGCTTTACAATTCATTAGCTGAGATCTTAGGTGAGTTGCTTCCCTTTCTTTAAGCCTCCATTTCTTCATCTATAAAATGGACATCATAAACTCTCTCCCTCTCCCACTGTATGAAAACATACTGACATAAAAGTCCAAGTGAAGTTCTTGGTGCATAGGAGAGCTCAGTAAGTGGTAGACATTATTAATGTTTTTCCAGGTGTCCATTCATTTGTTTATTCATCAGCATCAATTGTTCTTTGCAATTTCTAATAAAGCCTCCTTTTCAAATAGATGCCTAATAGTGACTGAGGCAGCACAGGATAGAAGTACATAACAGTCAACATGTATTTATAGGTATATATATGAGCATCTAAGTGGCATGTAGGAGTATAATAGGTACCTCAAGTATGGTTTAAAGTACAGCTGTCATGGCAATAAACACAACAAAAAATATGCCGCTTCACTAGTAATCGGGAAAATCACAAAATAAGGCCAGAAGGGAGATATTGCTTCAGACTCGCCAGATTTGTAAAAATTTTAAATCTGACAGAATCAAGTGTTAAGAAGAATATAGAGTAAGGGAGCTCATATGCACTACTAGTAAGAGTTTAAACTCATATGACTACTTTGGAAAATGATTTGTCAATATCTAGAAATTTGAAGATGTGCATATCCTATCTACTAGCAAGTTTCACTCCTAAGTATAACCTAAAAAGAATTTCCCATACTTAATCGCATTGATGTGTTTATTAACTGAATTATTTGTTTTAGCAAGTAACCTTAGTGTCCCTCTTAGTAGGCAACCTTGGTGTCCAACCTTAGTGGGTAATGGATGCATACTTTAGGTGAGCTAAAGTTACATGTGGTATCAGCATAGATGAATTTTAAACAATGAAGAGTGAAAAAAAGTTGCAAATAAAAAACCATATGCATATATGTATGCATGCATGAAAGTATGGAGAACAATATTAATATATTGCCTATGGATACCTACATATGTAACAAAAGTCTAAAGAAATTAGTTGGAATGATAAATATTAAATTCAGGGTAGTACTAGGAAAAAAAAAGAGGGATGTGATTGGAAAGGCTATCTAGAGCTCAAATCCTAACTCTGCCATTTACTTACTCGCTGTATACCCTTAGACAAATTTCCTAACCTCTGGGCTTTAGTTCCCTGATCGAGAAAATGGGATAATAAAATTACCTACCACATAGGTATGCTATGGGTTAAATGAGTGCATATGGATAAAATGCTTAGAATAATATCTAGCAGATTGTATATAGTACTATATAAGTGTTAATGATTATAATTATTACTTGAGTATTATATTCTTTTTTATTTTTTTAAAAATCTTCAAGATTGCAATTTTTATTTGTAAATGTTTCAGTATTCTAAAAGATAAGGGCTATTTTTAATAACTACAATATCATTATTATACCTTAAAATTAACAATAAATCCTTAATATCAAATTTCCAGTAAGTGTTCAAATTCCAATTGTCCCATAAATTTCATTATTTTTTTACATTTTAGTTAGATTAAGTTCCATGCATTGTGCTTGGTTAATTAATTTTGCCATTAATTTTTTTAGCTTTATTAAACTATAATTGATATACAAAAATTATACACTTTTAATGTATACATCTTGATGAGATTGGACATATGTATAGACTCACGATACTGTCACCATGACCGAAGTACTAAACATATCCATCGCCTCTGAAAATTCCCTTGTGTTCTTGTGTGTGTGTGTGTGTGTGTGTGTGTGTGTGTGTGTGTGTGTTTTGGTAAGAACACTGAACATGAGATCTGTCCTCTTATCGTATTTTAAAGTACACAATAAGTATTGCAATTAATAAAAAGAATATATGTCAGTCTTGCCCTTTGCCATCATGTAGTTGAAAAGTGAACAAAGATGAAAAATACCATCAACATAGGAATTTGGGGTATGGCATAAGAATAGTGGAGCTATAATCTATTGCCCCTAGATATATTAGGAACTATGCTAATAGCTTTATATGCACTCATTTAACCTTTTCCCTTTGAAGTAAGCCCTATTCTTATCTCTGTTTTATAGACAGGAAGAAAGAGGCTTAGAAAGACTGACTTCCCAAGGTCACACAGTTAGGAGTAGCAAGGCTGGGTCCAGAACCCTGGTGAGAATGACTCATGTTCTTGACTGCTAGGCTGTATAGCCTACCTGGCCATTGTTTACATTAGCCTTCTACTTCCTTACGGTGTCACTCTTTATAAGCTAAGCTGTGCTGTGGTAAAGAACATCCCTAAATGAGAATGATGTGGCTCCTAATAACAAAGGATTAATTTTTACCTATGCTGCATATTCATCAAAGGTTAGGTGGGAGCTCTGCAACAAAGCTCCTTACTCAGCCACCCAGGTGGTACTGGAAGTGACACATAACACCTTAACTCACATATCATAGGCTAGAAAACCATATCATAGGTTTTCAGTCAGGGGTAATTTTGTCTCCCCAGAGGACACTTGCCAATGTCATGAGATCTTTTTGGTTGTCAAGACTGGGGAAAAGGGGAGAGATGCTATTGGTGCTATCTCGTGCAGGGGTCTCCAAACTTTTTGCCACTGGGGACTGGTGCTTCTATGAGAATCTAATGCCTGATGGTCTGAGGCGGAGCTAAGGCGGTGATGCTAGCGCTGGGGAGTAGCTGCAAATACAGATGGAGCTTTGCTGCTTGTCAGCTGCTTACCTCCTGCTGTGCAGCCTGATTCCTAACAGGACACGGACCGGTACCAGTTCGCAGCCCCTGGGTTGGGAACCCCTGATTTAGTGGATAGAGGCCAGGGGTGCTAAACACTCTGCAGTGTACAGGGCAGCACCCCCAGCCCTGAGAAAAGAAATATTTGTCCCCAAATGTCAGTAGTGCCAAGGTTGAGAGACTCTGGGCTAGAGCTAACCACAGGGTCCAGCAAATACAATTTCATGAAGCTGTGAGGGAAAAGAACATGAAATACCTTACAAATAACACTAATGACCACCATGCTTCTTCAGGCCTAAAAGCTGTTATAAAGAACCTTCAAAAGATATTTTTCCTTGATGGAAGTGAACTATCACTTTGAGGGAGAGCCATGGAATGGGTCTTCTAACACAGTCAGTTCCATCAAAGGGAAGAAGAGGCACCCAGACGTACTTCTAAGCTGCCTGATGCTCTGCCTCAGCAGTCCCTCTGGAGCATCACTGTCCAAAAGGATTGTAATGAAGGCTACATAAGTGATTAAAACTTTTCTAATATCCACGTTAAAAAAAGTTAAAAGGAACAAATGAAATTAATTTAATAGTATAACTTATTTAAGTCAATATATCCAAAATACTATCATTTCAACATGTAATCAGTATAAAAATATTATATTTTACCTTTTTTTTCGGTACTGTCTTTGAAATTTGGTGTGTATTTTATACTCGCAGTATATTTCAATTTGGACTAGCCACATATGAAGTGCTCAGTTGGCACGTTGACTAATGGCTTCAGTACTGGACATGCAGCTCTGGAGGCTTCTATTCTTGGGACTTAGGGAGGCACTTGCCTTGGTCTCTGAGGACAAGTGGCATTGCTGTAACCCAGAATCAATAAGTTCTGAGAATAGGACGTAAGTTCCGGGGATGTTTGTCCTAGACTCACTAAGACAGTCTAGGAACAAAGAAGGATTGATTTTCTGTGTAGTCTGTGTCATCACCTCCTTTTCTGTTTTCCATTGGCAGGTGCCTCGTCTCCAGACATGGAGCCCAGCTATGGGGGAGGTCTCTTTGACATGGTGAAAGGAGGTGCAGGGAGACTCTTCAGTAACCTAAAGGATAACTTGAAAGACACCCTCAAAGACACATCTTCGAGAGTTATACAATCTGTTACCAGGTATGTATATTCTTCCTGGTTGAGTTGATGGGCCTCTGTGCCCTCAAAAGATCTGGTTACCTGCCAGCTGCTTGTCTGGCTCAAAGACTGTCAGTTTTGTGATGTAATTGCATGGGATCTGGTTGACTGAGCAATGTCAGTGAAGCCATAAGGTTGAGTCCTTCACAATCTACCAGCATACGCTGGTAGGACTCAGCATATTGGTCCATGAAGAGTACAGTGATTGCCATGCCTAGCTTTCGAGTCCAACATCCTGGGTTCTAGTGCACCATCTGCCCATGTTAACCATGTGACCTAAGGCAAGTTAATTACCCTCTCCGAGCCTTACTTTTATACCCTGGTAAGATTCATGTCTTTGGATTGTTTGAGAATGAAATGAGATAATAATGTTACTGCAGTCTGAATAAGCAATACTCATGGATTACAATCAAAACAGAATTTTGTCTTTGCATCTTAATAGCCCTTTAAAATTTATTTAGTAGGAGAAGTTTTCTACCCTTCCACTGTATGGAAACTTTTACAAGCAGGCCTTATGAATTATTTTTTATTCTTACTTATTAAAAAGTTCTAGGATCACTTTAAGTTAACAATGTGTAGTTATAAATCAGAAATTGAGATGTCAAATCCAATATCTTAACATTTTAATCCTTGTTTAAAGGTAAAATTTACCCCTTACCTCTAATTCCCAATTAGGGCTTGGTAGGCAGAAAGAGGATGTCCTATGTTCTTTCTCCATCACTTTCTCCCCTACCTCCAAGCTGCTAACACTTATGGGGGCTATTTCCCTATCGGCAAAGAGGCCGAAGCAATCAGTGTTAATAAATAAGCATTGTTTTTTTTATTTTGAGTGGATTCTATTTATAAAGCGGCATCTACAAAGGATATTGGGGTGTACCAGTTGGAGTGGTAGATTTGGGGTGTGAGCTGTCTTCTCTCAACAATGCTTCCTTGTTAGAAAGAAAGCCTTGAGGGAAGTCAAAATATGCCAGCTAGACTGGAGCTGTCCCAGGTGATAGTGGGCAAGTGATTGAGAGAGAGAAATCTTGGCATATTTGGATCCATTTAATGAATGCCCTTTCCTGTTTTGCTTTTAGCTACACGAAGGGAGATTTAGACTTCACTTATGTTACCTCCAGAATTATTGGTAAGTTTCTCGTGTTTATTAACTATTCAAACTTAGCTTTTAATTGCTGCCCTTCATGACCTGTTTAACCTATTTTCTTTCCGTGTGACCCTCCCAGTGATGTCCTTTCCTCTGGACAATGTTGACATAGGATTCAGGAATCAGGTTGATGATATTCGAAGCTTTTTGGATTCCAGACATCTCGACCACTACACGGTGTACAATCTATCACCTAAGTCTTATCGAACTGCCAAGTTTCATAGCAGGGTAAGGAATTTTAGCTCTGGGATCACACGATTGAAGACATAACAGGGTATTTTTTTCTCTTAAGAGCTATCCTCAAAGCCTTTGCCCTTAGATACAAAAAGATGAAAAACTATAAACTCTGGACATTTCTAGCCACAAAATATTTACTAGGCTGTAATGCGATATTCTGAAGATTTTGTTTGGGTGGAAGACATTTGCAGGAAAGTTTATCTGTCAGTGAAATATCATCCAATTTGGGGCCTCAAATCAGTTGTGGTTGGTTGCTCAGTTGTTAGGGCACATTGCTGTGAGGCTCAGTTGGAGATTGAAATACTATGTAAGGCATTTGGCTACCATTGTACTGTAACACTAATTATGCCTTTAATCTTTCTTTATTGTTACTTGAGCATCATGATGAGTCAGTATGGCTAGACCAGTACAGACACACCAGTATTAATGGAAATAGCTTTCTGACATTCAATAAGAATGCTTCTTTCATAAGTGAAGATAACACATAAACAGTCTACACTGTAGGTTTGGTAATACTATTACTAATAATAGTAGAGTAGCAGCCAATGCTTATGGAGCACATACACTGTGCCAGGAACTTTACATGCAATATCTCATTAAATTCTCTCACTAGTTCTCTGAGGTAGATGGAGAAACTGAGGCACAAAGAGGTAAGGTAGCCTGCCCACCACACAATTAGTAAGGAGCCTAAGGCTTGTGTTCTTAATCATTACGCTGGGCTGATGGTATCATGTGGAAAAGCTGGATTGTCCTCTTAAGGAGCTTTGGAACTAGGCAGAGAAATATTCCTATTTTGGGGCTGTTAAGGAGCTATGAGAGCTGGCTTTGATTTGAATCTGTTGTCAAGCCTGGTATATCTGGCTACTGAATTTTTGATTTACTCACTAAAATAAGGCTTTTTCTCTTGAAAGAACATCTTCACATGTTTTGATTTAGTCTTTACCTATGATTGGTTCTGCAACTACATCTGGGTCTACTAGTAAATAGAAAGGGTTTTCTCTATACTTCGGACGCTTTAAAATTGAAACTTGCTTTGAAATATGTAAAATGGTAGCTGGTTATCCATGCTGTGTATCTAGGATTTCAGCTTTGATGCCAGAACACATTGAGCTCCAGATTTCAGTTGCCATTGATAATCTCTGGGCCTCAGTTTCTAGATCGGTAAAAAATATGAACAGGTTGATCTATATGCTCTCTAATGTTCAGTAAGATAAGGGAGAGTTTTGTTAAAGACTCTTTCCTCAGTGTTCCTGGAATAAAAAGAGGTGACCCAGTGGTTCTCAAACTTTAGTGTGCATCAGAATCACCTAGAGGGCTTGTTAAACACTAGGCCC